AGGAGCGAGTGAAAGACATTATCTTGGAAGGCCCAAAGAAGAGCCACCAGGCCAATTTACTCCTCGGGGACCTTCCCAGCTGTCGACAGGAACCAACGCGGTCTCCTAGTGACAATCTATCCGCTGACCAGTCCGCGATCGGAGAATCGGTTTTTAACAGTAAGGGACGACATCCTGGGGGGATAGGTATCGGACGGAGCTACCGCTAAGGGCAGTGATGTCTGACCACTTCAATGCCACAAACAGTTTCAACTCATGTGGACACGCTTCACTATATTAAATCCTCTCGAATAGCTCCCAGGTGTAGTTGTCTTATTGCTTCGCATCATTAACCTGGCACGTATGTCAACGACTGAAACGACTTATTACTACTAGCAGCTCGGTCCCCTCCGATCTTTCCCCAGAATGAGGAATGGTATGTTACAAGTGATTGTAGGTTCTTACGTTGAGTACGACTGGGCCCCATCGCCCAGCACTGCACTGTAGCCGGCACGGATCCCTTGGGGCAATTACGCCTCGTATGATATGCTCGAAATCAGCGGCCTTCGTACCAGACAATTGAGTGCGAAATTATGGGAGCGCTGACAAAGTTTTTCTCTCCTCGCTGAACATCACCTAGGATGTCTATAAAGACTGTACCATCCTCTCCCCGTTTGACACCTCCTAGTAACCTAAATCCCGTATGTTGTCTAACAAGTATGAGGATGAGAGATCTTACTAAACCATAGTGGATGTCTTACAGCGGGAGGAGACAAATAACTGTTGTCAGATCACCTACCGCATCATCTTCTCACTCAAGTGTCACATGCAAGAAGCGCACACGATTAACACCGACTGGCCCTAGAGCCGTATTCCACAAGGGGCCCGGTGCACGCATTATACCAGTCCGGCAGACTCGCGGTGGAGCCCATCGTTACTCAAATAGAATAAGACAACCAAAATAAACAACTCACCTGGAACACTACCAGTTCCCCCGTCAGTTCACTGACACGCAGGCGATCCAGCACCCCTGCTTACAGGAAACCACTCAGTTCACCAGCTCGATTTGAATAAGCCCACACCAAGGTAAAGTAATCGAGCGAAATGCCACAATTAAAACACCCGGAGCATAATTCACAGCTAGTTTAATAGGCCTAGCTGTGGACCACTCGAGTTGAACTTGTTGTGCATTGAATGCAAGCACGCCTACAGCTCCGTCCATATCCTATCCCTCCAGGATTGCGGCACTACTGAAAAAATCAGATCACCCGCGCACGTATCCAGCGATCCTCTCAGGGAGACACGTATTCCTCCGCTGAGAAGTCTCAGGGTATAATGCATGTCCCGTGCCTACCAAAATGTCTCTCAAGCCCTGCGCTGACCTTTTACTAATGTGGTACACATCTCGGAAATTGGTTGTGAGTAGGGATGACGGCAGGCAATCCATATTCGAGAGGGTGCCCCACATGAGAAGGAAACAAGGGTCGGAAGATATCCGGTGGTAAACGATAAAAGACTCTTCGTATGACTTGAGGCATCCTGTTGGCCGCGGTAACCATTCGTAACATGTTCTGTGTAGCCCGCAAGTCGGATGACACTAACACGCCGAGGTCTGTTTAACGATGGAGGTTCTGATCAACACCCTACTAATGTGGTACATCCCGCAAGCCTCAGGCTCACTAGTGGGAAGGACCACGCATTTATCGCCATTTATGGGTTATCGCAATTTGTCAGACCACCCATGTGACGTAACAAGTTTCGCCGCAATCGGTCCGCGTCGTCAAGACAGGATACCTTTATCGCTAACTTCAACTCCTTAGCATAACTTAGGCATTCCAACTGAAATTCCGACGGGGAACATTGGAGAAGACCTTGAAATTTCTAGGTCCAGGACCGATCCCTGCGGGACACCGCTTGTCATGAGCACAGGAGCGGAGTAAGTACATTTCACGTTGACGCGCATTGTCAGGTCATACAACAAATTAGCGATCCAAGAGTGAACGTCCCAGAAACACGGCTAACTCCTCGTTTACGAAGGAGCCTTTCAGGAGGAACTTTGTCAAATCCTTGCTGAAGTCGACAAAAGTAACATCCAGACGTTTCCCAGCGACGAATGATTTCGCTTAACTTTCACGGGCCACAAGCAGATTCGAAGTACATGCGCTTGCCCACCGAAAAACCTTCTACGCACAAGCCATGTCATTTAATTTCGCGAGGTGGAGAGGAAATGCACGTTTGAGAATCTTTTACATTGCCTTGCACAAAATTGAAGGTTAACAGATGGGTCGGTAATTGATAGCTTTTTGAGGATGCCCTCCCTTGTGTATGCTTTTAACCATCCCCACATTCACAGCAATCGGAAGCCTTCCAACTTCCGAAATGGCGAAATATCTGGCAAACAGGAACTGGCAAACTTACAGGCCACAGACTTGAGGAACAGCAAATGCAACCCATCAGGACCCGGTGAGGTGTTCGAATCTAATTCACGAATGCCTTTGGCAACGACATCGGCGCTCAGTACCTCATGTCCAACGAAGAAGGGAATATTGGCAGCTCATCACTGGGAAACGGCTTCTCCATCGAGTAAACATGGAAATATTGCATAACCAGGAGACTGGCTTCCATAGCGTCAAGGAAGACAGAGCAAGCATACCACTGCCTGCTCTGGTACTTCTCTGCAGTAAGAGAACAGTGCATTGGGAGTCACCTTGGATTGCACAGCTAAGCCGAGTTCGTACTTATGGCGTTGCTCTCATTTGTTCAAGTTGCGGTTATTCCTGACTACTTTCTATTCCGCATAGTCAGACTCGGATTGCGTGTGCCTGAATCGCACCCACAGTTTTCACCTTGTGTTCGTTAGCCACCTCAGTTCTCGATCAGTCCTTGGAGGATCTCTGGCAAAAGGACTTTTATACACAGGAGCGACCTTCTCAACGAGCGGAATGATTTTGGAGTACAATCGGTTCCACTGATCGTCCAGGTCCAGAGATTCGGCTATGCTCCAGTTCACGGTACTAGTGGCCGTTTGTAGGCCTGGGGGCTCAATACACCAGAAATTGCTGCGGAGGCGCCCTTTGTTGTGGAGAGTAAGGCGTGGAGTCCAGAGGAATGAAACAACACAATGATCGCCTTTACCAATGAGATGAAGGACGGCTAGGCGGAGACATCTGATTTTGCCGGTAAGGGTACCAGGTAGAGAATATGGGCTGTTGGTACTGCAGTTATGCGGGTAGGCATAGTGATATGTTGGAATAAGTTACATTCCATAGCCGTCTCTAAAAGAGCGAACTCAAAAGCATTTAAGGTGGAAAACGATGCATTGGGTCCCAGTCGATACTCAAAGCATTGAAGTCACCCAGTAATAAGCAGTCCTTGCCTCCGTCACGCATTTTGACCGCGTCCAGCAGGACATCTCCGGGCCCTGTAGACAACAGCGATCACGAGCGACCTGCATCCGTCATGAACACGGCACCAAGATGTTTTGCATTCACCATCCGTGTCACAGGTAGCTTCAACCGGATGAGCCTTGAAGTCCGTCTTCCAATAGGTATCACACCACCCCCAGGTCTTAATCCATGACCGACTGCCGGGCAAAGGTGGTATCCAGGGAGCTGCACCTCCGAGTCCGGAATAACCGAGGACAACCAAGGTTCGGTGAAAGCTATAAGGTCCGGACGATCCAGGGAAGCAAGATGCTGAACTTCGTCTAGTTTGTTTGAGACTGCGCACACTGGAAGAAAGTACGCGCAGTCTGTTCATCAAATATAACGCCAACGCATGACAAAGAGTTGTCTCAAAGGAGGTCTTGGCGTTTTTCGGAGTACGCGGAAATCCACGATACGTAGGTCAGTCACACCATTTTCACGACAAGAGCTGAGTTCATCAACCGCTTTCTTTATTTTTACTCGATCCTCCGGACAGAGGTCTCGTAGTATGCAAAGTTGTTCCTCTAAGCTCCTGAGCTAGTCGAAGAATTCGGTGGACTTAAGCATCACTTTGACATACAATCTTTAAGGGACGGAAGTTAGAGGGGTGCTTCTGTTTCTTGCCTTGGCGGAGAGCAGAGACGCTGTTAATTCCTGGCTCACCTTCATCGAGCAGCAAGGATAGCTCCCGTTTTAGAAAACCTTGATCCTCCAGATGGAATGGTTTTGGACGACTCAGAAGCAGTTACGATGATTAGGCAAACGCCACGAGAGGCTGATTTGTTTCTATCGGGGAGCTGAGGTTTGTGTGGTGGACGCATCTTAAGCACGTTTTCCAGCTGACCGAGTGTATCCAGGACCAGCCTCAACTGCAACCGTGAAGACAATGGTTTACCTTTCACCTTGACATCGGTTTTGCCCTTACGTTCTGCCACTCTTACTGGCGAGGGCCGTGGCGCACATTCCAGGTGGTCCAGCAAACGGTGCAGTGTCGGTACCTGCCTTCTTTACTGGAGTCAGATGGGCCAGGACTAGTCGTTGGGGGGGAAGCAGCGGATCCTTCTGCTTTTGCACAGAGTGCGGACAAGAGGGAGTGGAATGATTGACGTCAGGCCATTTGAAACGCCATTGACAGAGGCCAGCACGATATGGGTCATAAATAAAGGCGTGAAATGAGCAAATGTTCTTCTGCAGTGGATCGTACAGATCTGGACCGAACGTGCAACATGCAATGTGCAGACACCCTTCGCAGAAGGTACATTGAACAGCCATCGAACAGAAAGAGGCAGCCTTAAAGCAATCCAAGCATTTCGAAGCATTTGTATACTTTACTCCGTAACTTCCTATGGAAGTTCGACGGTAAGGAACCACAAACTGTATGCTATCCGCAGTCCGGTCATAAGCAAAATAATGTGGCACAACGTTGGTTAATTTGCTCGGTTTACCCAAAGTAGATGAAAACTTAACGATTCATAATAAATTTACCTGCCAAGTTTTAAACATAATTAGGTGACCTCTAGCACGTTTTCGTTTTAAATGCATGTCACCTATATTTGTTTGTATAAACTAATATAACCTTGTTGAACACGTATTTAGTGACCTTGTTTTGCATCTGCTTCTCTTGATCCGTCGCGCCTACCCTGATGGAGAATCCTCATTCTCCGACTTCTGAAGAGGTCCTTAATTTCTTCAACACAAGTGAAGAGAATGGGCTTAGTGAAAAGCAGATTGCTTCCGCTCTTGAAGAGTACGGTTATAATGGTGAGCTTTTCTATTATTATTTCTCATTTCCAGAGTTGCCCCCCGAGGAAACTAAGCCATTATGGAGGCTTGTATTAGAGCAGTTTGATGACTTGCTTGTAAAGATATTATTAATCGCTGCCACCATTTCTTTTGTAAGTGGACTCTTCTTCCCACGTCATATTGCAGGTTCTTGCCTGGTTTGAAGACAGCGAAGATGCCACAACAGCTTTTGTTGAGCCGCTCGTAATAATGCTTATTCTGATAGTTAACGCGATTGTCGGCGTTTGGCAGGTAAGCTATTTAATTATTACCTTAGTTTCCAGGAACGTAACGCAGAATCCGCTATAGAAGCCCTTAAGGAATATGAATCGGACACGGCCAAGGTGATTCGTCAGAATAGTAGGGGAACGCAGTTAATAAAAGCGCGAGAGCTTGTCCCTGGGGATGTCGTAGAAGTAGCTGGTAAGTAACTTTGAAACGCCTATGTTTCTCTTTTTGCCGACTGTTCTCTTACCTACTTTGTGCCGAGTGAAATAGCGTTTTAGTTTACAGCAGCCTTCGGCTTCCTAGGCGAATCTCAGGCTGCTCCTTGCTTCATTTTATCTTGTAGCTTTGGATCTGACGTTTACCATCTTTGTATTCACCAACTTGAGCTTCACTGTTCTCGTTCACCTCGTGCTGCCAAGCTGAGCCGATGCATCTCTTTCTAGGAACGAAAGCTTTTGCCTATGCTGTATGATGTTTAGATGCGTGCACCTATGGGTTAACACCCTAACAAGCGTCTTACTTCTTGTACCGGTAAGTAAACAAAATCCGGCCACCTCAACATTTGATTGGCTTTCCTTGATTCTACATACTTAGTGAAACGAGAACCAAAGCCATGTTTGTCATGGATCTGCCTTCTTATTTTTCGCACGAGGGCAGCTGCACCTTCCGGTATACTTACCGTTATCATGGGAATATATCAATGCCTATCTAGGTTCTTTTTAATGGTTTATACAGCATTAAATTAACAAGTGAGAAAGAAGCTTGTTCCAGGTGCGAACTACACGAGTTTTAAAAAGTTCTGTTATCGAACCTGCACATCTGCTGCTCTACCTTTACTTGTTATAGCTTGTTCGACGTAACCTCACGCTACTAGGGATAATCATGATGTTGTGGGTTTCTAGCAGATCCTGTCCAACTGCACTGTTTCAGGGGAACTGATTATAAGCTTCCTGGACGATCGTGTCATAGCTTTTCAATGATCGTTCATCATGTTAGTTGCCAGTTTTCTATCTCCTGTACCCACCGTCTAGATATACTGCGTTAGACTATGCGGTAGTCCAAGCGCAGTCGAACAACCGTATCATTCAGTGGGAGCAAACCACATTTTAGGCGGAATGGCATTTTCACTACAGAACGACTCTTGCTGCCCTTTACTGGCGGCATACTCCCGCTCATCATTACCAATCCACTTTTGCTGAGAGTGACAAACATTACAGCTACTATGCCGCAATACAAACACTTAAGAGGCTAAGCGTTATGAGGTGATACTCGGATCACTCGCTTCTTTAACTCGACGCAAGGTCAGGGCTCCGGTTGAATTTTGTACCGTGCTCACATCGTCGCTGGCTATCAACATCTGATATCAGCAAGTATTATAGGGCCAGTATTCTTCCTACCGTCTCCATGCTTTTAGACAACATAACTACCGTTGTTACCGAGCTTTAGGTCATTCGTAATGACAAGGATTTCCTGACTCTGCTTTTGGAATAATAATATAATAATGTCAGCTGCACGCCGTAACGGCGCTTCGCTGCCGCGCGACAGCCACTAGTCGCGCGCGGGCTGAGTATACCGCGAGGACGCCCACCCCTACGCGGATTCGAAACGATGACTTTATGGTTGCAGAGCAAACGTGCATACCACCCGGCCACCGGCTGACCTGCTTTTGGAATACCAACCTTGCCTTTTGAATTGCGACACGCAACCTCGATTTTGGCTTCGGTTGGATTTAAAGTCAGCGCTTGCCATTCCGAGCACTGGGACCATATTGGGAGCGATCTCAAGAAGGAGAGCCATTATTAATATATATATGTATATATATATATATATATATATATATGTATATATATATACATCTTCTTCTATCCCATAAATTACCAGGTAGCCGAATTCTTGTACGATCTCTAGTTGATCCCCACCAAGACTCAGCGCAGAAGGTGGTCCCTGCCAGTCTTGTATGGAAGCTATGCACTTCAGGGTGCGAAGCAGAGGCCGAAGTGACTGACAGCCAGTGCTGATCTGTCCAATGCCTCTTGGCACATCTGTGAGGTATCGCAGATGAGGTCAGTGTCGTCGACATACTCTAAATCAAGAAGTTCTCCTGGGAACAGCTCCACACCTTTTAAGGCGTGCTTTGTGAGCGCGATTTCCATGAGTTCGCCAATAGCGAACTTGAAGAGGATAGGTGACATCAGGAATCCTTGTCTCACACCGCCAGAGGTAATATGGGCTGGCGATAGCTTGCCGTAAGCTCTTACTCTGCCCGAGCTACGCGCATATAATGCTCGGCTAACATTTACCTATAACAGGTGCACCTTTCCTGAGTAGACACTCCCAAAGTGCACGTCTATCCACTGGATCGAATGCACCCTTGATATCGAGGAGCACAGCAACGGTGGGCCGCCAATATTGTGTCGGCGCTCCAACAGCTGACGCAAAGCAAAGATATCGATGTAGCCCCGACCTCGACGAAACCCGGCTTGCTCTTCCTGAAGCTGGCTTTCATGAGTGCCAGCCAGTCTGTGAAGGACGACAGAGGCTAGCACTTTCGAGGCGAAAGAGATCCGACTGTTCACTCCATGGTTGCCGCATTCCGATCGTGAGCCTCCCTTGAAAATTGGGACTGGCTGAGCCTCTCCAATCGGTTGCGATAATTTCCTGCTGCCGCAGTTTCACTAGTAATTCGTGTAAATCATCCACAAGAACAGGTCCGCCGGAATCTGTGGAGGGCTGGAGGAAGATCCTCTGGTCCCGCGGTTTTGTTTAACTTCAGCAGTCCGATCATACGTTCGATTTCCGCGCGAGGGCGGATCCAAAGGGAAAGGGCGCAGATCGATCAGTGGCCGGCGCGAAATCTGACAATCCGGCCGATTAAATTGCCTTTCACACTACTCAGCCCAACGCTCCAAGCGTTTTGACAAGTTGTGGATAGGTTGTCCACTCTCGTCACGTATTGTTTCACTAACACTAGGTCTCCTGCTGCCCGTTTCCCGTATCAGAGGGAATAATTTCCGATGGTTACCAGGGGCATTTCCATCTCTGATACACGATGCGACCACCAAGATTCGCGGTCTCCCTTCAAGCTAGCACCGAGTTTTGCCCTGAGGTTTCTGCGAGTCTTCCTGCTAGAATGTGCCGGCGAGCATCGATAAGTTCCAGAGGCTGCGAAGAGTTCAGATATCCATGTTGGTGATTAGACTTACCGTACGAAGATTTGCCTTCTACTAGTAAGGTCTGGTAAACGTGCGACCAGTGACCTTCGCTTGTATTCACTGAGCGCTTACTCATCTCACATGTCAGCGTACTATGAAAGGCATTCAAAACAGCTGGCTTCGTAAGTTGGCTATTACGAATGCGCTCACAGGGTTGTCGTGGGCGTCCGACAAAACGAATCCGCAAGTCAGCACATACAAGTGCATGGTCGGTGTCCACACATGTGCTCCAAATCGAGCGACAGTTCTGGATGCAGCCTTTCCGGCAAAAACTGTTCGCAATGTGATCGATTTGCACCAAACTCTGGTTAGAGGCTGATGGGCGCCAAGTCGCTCTCCGGCAAGTGTTGTGTCGGGAATTAGTGTTCGCAAGAAAAAAGCGAGCATCTTCACACAAATGAAGTAACCGTTCACCGTTATCATTACGGGAGCCTACATCATGTTGGCCACCCAGATGCAGTTCACTTATGAATACTTATCCAACTTGAGCGCTCAGGTCCCCCCGCCAGTGCAGTAGTATCCTTGCTACTTCTGTGGCGAAGGTTGTTCAGTTGGCGGTAGAAGCCGTCTTTTACCGAATCATCATCACAATTTGTGAGCGCGTAGGCAGCGATGGCGAATAGACATCTGTTAGTCCCGCGCAACTTCGAAACTTTGAATAGGCCAACCAGTCGGACCGCACACATCCGGTTACTGACTAGGATCCGTTCAACTAGAGCAGATTTAGTCCGGAGACTCAGGGGAATATCAACACCGGCTTGGCCGGTGCTCGAAGCTGCATCGTCACCGAATAAGCGCATTAAGAAAATTGTTGCTGGCGTCACTTGAAGGGGATCGCAGAGGGAGCACGGAGCTCGTGTCTTGCAGTCGGGTTTCCGATTAGCAGCATATATCGATGGACAGGGTCTCCACTGTTCGGGCAAGTGCTGCCTGTTGACCGATCTGTAGCAATGTGCGTACATCGCGGCATGCCAATCCGAAGGCGGATCGATGGCTCCAAATAGTAGCCGATGAACTAGGTGGATCGCTTGCTTAGACATTTGCTTGTCGACAGGACAGGAATGACGCTCCGCGTTCGCATGTGACTTAAAACTTGTAGGTGAACGCCTATCAAAGCAAGGTGGGGGAGGGTCAACAATTGGGGAATTGAAAACAAGGGGATAAAAGTGAGGCCTGAATGGGATGATAATTGGGAAAAAGCATAAGAGGGGGAATAGGAAGATGGGTAGGTTTGGGCAGTAGCATCTAAACTCCTATCCAATCTGCTTGATGCAACAGGTAGGGTACCGTTGATTATCCTCTGCGGTGACCAGTGGATCCAGAAATTGTTTGAGGAAGGATTCATAGTATTGCGTGGGCACGATACTGTCAAGTTGCCCAGGCCTAGACAGGAGAACGATTAGGGTTCTCAACCAAAGCTTTCGGTTCAAAAACCTGACCACAAGGCAGTGGGGTTTCGGCAGTAAACTACAAGAAGTCCATTTAAAGAATAAGGAGCCGCCTTCACCCCAACCCCCAATATGGAGGCTAGGAGACTGAGTTTGTCTGGCCCTAACCATTGACCAATCTGGTGTGAGTGGCTCTGGAGGTGCAAAAATGCACCACCCAGCGTTGGTCAGTCGATCTCTGAGGCACACAAACCATTGCACCCCGGTAAGCTCCAGTCTCATTGCAATGGTCTAGCATGCAACGATGATCCACGATTCATCGTGCACATTCATCACCGTCATCAACAATAACAGCAATACATAAGCCGTTTGAACTGTTGCTTCGCTGCCATACAACAATGATGACCTAAGGAATAAAGAATAATATGAGGGACAGAAGGGGGACTTGAAAACCTTAATGCCCTATGCAAACATTCGTTGCCAAGGCACCTACACTTTGTATAGACAACATACCGTCACAAACAGCTGACTGTCCTGCAGGTTAGGCGGCATTGACGAGACAGCTTCTTTGCGGCTTTCACTGCCTCGCGTCATA